TTAATTCTGTATAACCCTCACTATCTGCATTTCCTTCCATATCTTTCTGTAAACTAGATGAACATTCAACACTTGATTTACCTTGAATTTGAACATTAAAATTATTTCCTTGTGATAATTGTAACCCAGTGAAACGCCATACACCAACATATGGTCGTAAAATTTTCCACATATACAAATATTCTGTATTGATAAGATTCGTAGTCAGTGGATATGCTGAATTATTTGGTGTCAACAATTTAATTTGGTGGATATCAATTATTTCAACTACGAAAAAAAAACATTTCCGTTAGAATAATTTCTGTGGGATTAAAATGTGAGATACAACTATAATTTCACTAGTCACATAAAAATAGCTTTATTAGATTTATTTGGGGAAATTATTGCAACGATACATGATTTGTGATATGAAAGATAGAAGTGTGAATTGTTATCTTATCTATTTTGACATTGTTTTCAGATCATATTGTCTAAAATCATAAATATTAAAATGAATCAACTACTTTTTTTCAAATATTGTTCATCGTGTATCACTGTTCAACTCCAGTCTGATTGAGAAAAAAATTTTGAACTTTGGACTGCATCTATAGTCTGAAGATTTTATAAATAGAAAAAGCATTTAAAATGGTGTTTTCATTTAAAAGTTATTGTAAGCCTAGCGAAACAAGAATTTGTATATTCTATCCAAACAATTATACAAAATCGTTTGAAATAAAAAATAATTTATTAAGATAACAAAAATATTCTATTAACCTGTTGATGATATATCAATATGAAGTTCATCAATTGATGAATCAACAAAAAATGTAATTGATGTTGAATTATAATTAGAAATAATAACTAAAGTTTGTAATCTTGTCCATTCTAAACGACGAAGTATAAATTCGGAAATAACAGATTGATCATTAATAGTAATAGGATATGTCAAACCACCGCTAACCGATGGTAAATCTGTACCATCATCATTTTCATCTAATTGAACAGTACGTTGAAATTTATTTTTAAGTAGAAGTTTTTTCATTTTTTGACCCACAAATGAATAAATAACAATATGTTTATTTCGAAGTAAAGCACGTGCTTTATATTTTAAATAACTATCACTTGCTGGTGAATCTGTAAATGTGTAAATAACAGATGAATATTCAGATTGTATTAAACCTTCAATAAGACTACTATAATACATTCCACCTAATATTGAAGTATAATTTTCACATGGATTCAATGTTTGAATAGCATTAATTAAATCATTTGGTTTACGTGAATTAATAATTATCTTTGCATAATTATTATTAAATGATATTAATATAAAATTATGTGGAGCATATTCTAATTGACCATATTGATTAACAATATTAATTGATATATTTTTAGCTAAATCAATATAATTACCAATTGAACATGATGTATCAATTGATATAATAAGACTATTTAAATTCTTTTGTAATGTTAAAAATAGCCCAAAAGAATCATCACCAATATCTTGTTGANGTTATAGAGAAATTTTCGTTGTTCTGTGTGTATCGGCTAATTTCGTTCAAACAAAACGAATGCATAAATTATGCACGTCAAATTTGAGCATATCAATCGGTTGCATGATTTACAAACTTGGTTATATGAAGTGTTGAGAGAGCTCTACAACATATTCAAGATAACATTTCTCAATGATACAAGCAAATAAAAGTAAAAATTCTATGATGTAAATGTTGAAATAAAAGAATATATTTTTATGAGTTTCATTTGTTCGTTCTTAGGTGACAGTATACGTCAAGATATCGTGCGACTTCATTTCTTTCGAATGATTTCCTACATTGAATATCTTGGTTTTGAAAACTCTTAATGTTGTAACATTGTCATTTTTAGAAAATATTTCAAGTTTGTAAATCATGCAACCGATTGATATGCTCAAATTTGACGTGCATAATTTATGCATTCGTTTTGTTTGAACGAAATTAGCCGATACACACAGAACAACGAAAATTTCTCTATAACCATGATAAGCGTAAAGATATATGACATTAATAGAAAAAGCAAACATATATTTACACCTCAATTTATTTTATTCAGTCAATATAATTTATTCATTTGTGAAATGAATAAAAAGATATAGTTCATTCTCTGATACACCATCGCTAAATAGCTTCTATTATTATTAGAAACATATGATTTTTTTTACCAGTTTTAGTATTGATACAGAGCTAACAAACTGATATTATTCCAAGCACATACCTCTTGTTCGAAACCGTGATCATCAGACATCATCATAAAATGTTTCGGTAGAATACACTTTTATGTTTACTGACTACATCAATTTTGTAATGTAAAGAATTAAATGCAAGCATGCATTCTGGGTATATGCATCTTTGCTTTCTCGTCTTAATAAAAACAGCTGATTTGAATATAATGACAGAGATAGGCAGAAGTTACCGTTTTCTTTTCATCTATATCGTTTGACTCGGTTAACAGTTTTCCGTATATCGAGTGAAGGTTCAATGGGTAGAATTATTAGACACATAAGCAATTCATAATGGTATTTTTCTGAATTCAAATAACTTAACCACATAAAATGATATAATCAATGTGAAATGTGTGACGAAGTACACATCGAAATCCTTCGTAACCGATGAATTCTATCTATCATAACTAAGTAGCTAACATCTTCATTGAATATATCTTATGCATTTAATATGTTTTCCGATAAATAAAATTGTTATCTTGGTGTTCTTCCGTATCCCGTTAGTGTCTGGGATCGATAGCATCCAATTTTATCCTTGTTTTTTTCCTCCTGCCTTGTACAAAAAGATGATGCAAGTACTTAATAAATGTGAATACTATTGGATTTCATCATTTTTCTCTTTGTTGTCAGTCATTATTATACATGCAAAATTAAATTTTGATTTCTCAAATTTAACGAAACGTTTCTCTGATGATCTAGACAGTGATAAAAATGGACGAAGTAAGCACTCTTTAGAGAATCGAATACAGGATTTCAACATTTCTCTCATCATTTATTTTGAGAGAAATAGAACAAGATGCTATCAAAATCATGCAACATTTAAATAATAAGACTACAAATGTCGATGAGACAAGTCATCCAAGAAAAAAAAACAGTGCAACTGCAGCATGTAATTCCAATAAAGCGAACTTCTTATTCTTGGTGGAGAAACGTATGATTCTCATACAAAATTCATTCGTTGTCTTGCCTTGTTATTCAATAATTTGTTCTCATGTGTACATAGGTAACTTTTCCTTTCTTTCATCAAATGATCGATTACGATCTCCATTTTCACACATCGTGTTTTTTTCTTTCTGACCACGTGTTCACACACGCTAAATAGGCTTGTAATTGGAAGTTGTCGAAATTGTCAACATTCGAAGTACGATGACATGTATCTTACAGAGTTGGTGAAACAAAAAGAATTGAATTTAATACTGAAGCTTCTCTCGAAGAGAAACAAAAAACTTTTTCGGAATTTTTACTTCTTCGATTCCGTTGTATAATGTAGAATTTCTTGTCGAAGAATATTTACAAAGACTGTGTTTCGTCGTTGAAAAATATATAAATAATTTCAAATAATGAAACTTGATCTTTTTTCTGTGTTTTATATACATTTGTTCCACATATTTGAATTGAAAACATCATCTACCTTAGTAGTATTGCACTTGACCATGAAAAAATAAACATTTTATTTTAGTTAATAGAATAAACTGAGGAAATATACGTCATCGAACGACTTCTGTTGGTCTTATTCGGAATTCAATATATTCATTTTATTCAATATTTGACATTTTATCCTTCAGTTGTTTTGTTATTATTCTCACTTATAATGATTTGCGATTTCAACTTCGAATTCAAAGCATTCTATCGTCTGTTAGTATGTAGAGAAGCAATAAATGCAGGTGAAAGAATGTTACATAAGGTAGCGACGACATACTCGTTTCGAATATTCACACATATGATTGGTAAAAAGTAACTGTACCGTATGAAATTTACAAGGCCATATTGATGGAATGTGTAAAAATAAATTTTTGTCTATGGGTAAGGTATCTATATATAAATATCGAATGATATGTTTGATTGCTTCTAGTAGTGAATTGAAACAGTACTGGAAATGACTGACTCCATATTTACTTATAAGCCACTAAAAGATGATGATTTGAAATTATTTAACAAGATAAGTTAATAATTATGTTCATTTGTTTTATGTATGTTCTCCATCGATACATCGATTTATATTTAGTATAAGAGTTCGATTGAACGTGAAGTTCGAGCAAAACATCCATCGATTCTAGTCGACTTTGAACTGATACCGGTGCGTGTTCGTCACGTCGGTGCCTGTGGTACAATGCATGATTATAAAGTATAAGAAATCATTCCATATTATCTCAATCGTTTGTCTCATATGCATATTTTAGATTGCTGTGCCCGGTGACCCATTGGTAAAAATATGTTTTCTGACAGGTGCAATGCAGATGTATCCGCCTGGCGAAATGCCAGAAACTATTTAACTTCTTGTTAGAGACATTGTTCTAAAACATGAAAAGTTTTAATGATTATTAATCTGTCATATAACTATAATAAACAATTAGAAACTATCAAGTTAGTATTTTGTTTTACCAAACGTTGATTAATTAGAAGAATTACACAGGCACAAACAATATCAAAAATATTAAAAATATACCGATAAGAAATCTACTATAAGGTTTTTAATAAATATGAAAATCATTTTTAACCAATTCTGCTTGTTGTGAAATAACTTTCTAATGCTGCTAATGTTTTTTTTCTCATATCACTTCATGTATTTCATGCGATCGTAACCAAAAAAAGAGAACGATACGGTGTTGCAATCGTTTAAGTATGGGCACGTGGCAAATAATAAGTATCTTCAAACTTCACTATTTCTCTTTCTCTTTGTACTGTATATAGTATACGATTTTTTATTGATAGATTCATAGCACACCTTCTATGTTGATATTTAAATCAATGAGTGCCTAGAACTTCAATTAAGAGTCAATATGTGTAAAAACAACAAAGAATTTAACAGAGACGAATATTACTACATCATAACCAGATGAAAAGTTTACATTTCTTCAACAATGTTAAAAATTTAACAAATTTTTATCATTTGTGAGAAACTACGTTTTCCATACAAGAAATTCAAAAATAAAAAAAATGAATATCAAACTATATGATCGGTATACAACGAAGTATTTTTAATATTGTAAGCCTTGATAACCGATTCTATATATGTCTTCAAGTCTTGATTTCATGTAATTACATCCTTTGAAAATTCTATTGTAATAACAATAGATGTAAGTATATTTATCTTCAAATAAATGGAGTGGTAGATGTAGGTGTTTTAACCTCTCATAACCGCATCCACAATACTTACTTAGCTAAAGGCATCAAATTTAGGATGTATGTTTGTTTAGTGCAATGACGAAGCTTAGAATCACAGTAGATGTAGAATTTTTAATCGATCTGGTTCTACCAGTACAAATTTTAGACCACTGAAAACTAACAATAACAAGCCGATCTGTTAGTTCACTACTACTTAATTATACGATTAACAGAAATAATTTTAAGAAAGATTTATGTTTATATTTTGTTTCTGCCTTTAATGTGATAGAAAAAAATCATTTATTCATAAACGAAGTGTCAAATCCGAGATATGAGACTTTTCCATTCATAAATTTAAAAAGTGTTGTAATGACTCTTTTCATATCATGATTCAAAAACCAATATAGTCTTTAACAAAAGGTTATCTAAAGTTTCACAGTTTCGATTGTGCTTATCTGCTTGAATTATAGTAAAATGCAAAAGTGAGGACGAGAGCAGCAGACTACAGCACTGCCAGCCACTTACACAACCACGTGTCAATATTTCGATCAGAACAAGCAAAATTGTTCTCATCGAGTTTTATCAGAGAAACGTTGAATAATGGCCTAGTATCTTTGATAACTAGTTTGAGCTGACTGTAACTAACATCCAATTAGTTAATAAATTCTACGGAAACCAATGGATCTAGTTTCATAAACGAGAACAAAATGGTAAACAGATTAGATTTTGACAATTTTATTTTTAATACGATTTCTGTCGCTTTTTATGAATCGTTTTTTCATATTGTTTGCTTGACTCGATCATTACTAGATTTTATCTGTTATAGCTAGTTTATTTTAGAGTCTGCTTGAAGGGATAGAGAAATCAAGTGAGTAACATTCACACTCTGATTTCGAATGATCTCAATATGTTAATAGAAATGTAACGTTTTGTTAATGTCTGATATAGTTATTCATTGGAGTCAGCGCATTTTGAAATAGATTTCGAAAGTCAAATAATCTAAAACGTTCTTCTTCTTTTCCAACAACCATCACTTGAAGAAGAACCGAAGTAGTGCACATTTTCGTTTTTATCGAAAGGACCTTTTGTCGCTTGCTCATTTTTTCAAGAGTTGTAATTATTTATGGAATTACATGCATTCTGTTATCTAGTGTTCTTCATTAAATGCTTCAACTTAAGAACAGTTTTGAAATATTGTCAATATGAATCGTGACCAACGATATTGGTCATTGTAGTGTGTGGATGTGTTTACGACCGATAATCATTAAAGGTATCCTCAAAAATCGATGTTATGGCTTTTACAGCGACATTCTATGTAATTATGAGAATATTATGAAGTTGTGGTGGAAAGATTACAGCAAAATTCTCCGTCATTTACTATGATGCATAAGTGAGGTATATCTTCATTCTATATATTTCTCTAGTCTTTTTTTCTTTCATAGAACCTAGCGAAATGCAATGCAAATGAGAGTGTGGTCCAGAAGAAGAGTAACAGTCACATGCTGTATAAAATTAAAAACATCCTTTGAAATAAATGAGAATACGAAGTTCAGTAGAATTACTCTTAAAATGTTGTCTCATCTTGGGAATCTTCTAGTAGTGACAACTGTGCTGAAACTAACTCTTTCTTTTAGTTTAAATTGTCCATGTTAATAGCTAAAAGTTTTAAGAAATTAAACTAGTTTTTCAATTTGACAAACCTTCAAAAATTTCTTTAGTAACTTGTCTTTTCGTAATGAATAGTCTTCTTTTGTAAAAGGTGATTATTCAAGATTTTATACCGATTCTTTTTGAAAGCCGTAAAAATTGCCATTTTAGTGATATTTTAATTGAGTATGAAACAAAATGAATGAAACCATGTTATAAAAATACGATGATAAATATTAATAAGTTTTTAAACGCTAAATCTATCATAGAAGTTTTTTCTCGAGTTATATGTATTCTTTGAATGTTGAAACACCTATCTGAACTGTTTACATGAAATCTTATTCTTTATTTTTTCGAAATCGAGAACAATTCTATCTCTGTATTCTAATATAAACAATTAAATTAGTGTTAATTTTAGTAACACTTTTCAATCTATTTCTCCTTTTTATGAATAATTGAATAGATCAGATTTTAGAGAGATCTTCTTTTTGAATTCATCAAATGAAAGATACAAGAAAATTTTGTTCTTTTACGAAATAACAAGATATATTGAAATTCAGTATTCCATTTAGTAAAAGCGAAATTCCATCATGAAAATATAAATTAAAAAAAAGATTAATTCCCCTCACATTCATCAAAAGGAACACCAATACGTTTTACTTTTTATTTGATGTACAACGAACACTATTTTTATCTTATCCGAATCATCTTTACTATCATATAATTGTATCAGCAGTTTATACTACACGTGACAACGAAAAAAAAGGCATTCAATGTGTGTATGTTTCTACTTTAAACATTTTGCTCGTATGTATCTACAGTATGGCGTCATATTGGACAATTGAATAGTACGGGTAAAATCCCATAACACTGCAAATGTCAGTCATAATTACGCTTTGACTATTTTTAATTAACACTCTTATAACTATATAAACTATGTATGGCATGCTGCAAAAGTCATAATCATTATCGAAGACTGTGAAGTGAATTACAAAGTAAAGCATATTTGATTAAAAAAAACCCCATTGAAACCATGTTCCGATTCAGTATCAATATTATTCTATTTGGCATAATTATTTTGATTTCACTTGCTGTTAGTGAATTAAATGATCCACGATATACATCACGTCAAGACTTTTCTGAAAGTGTAAAGAGTTCTGTGAGTGAATTATGTTTACAAGCTAAACTACAATACGGTACAGCAAATTATTAAGATTTTATATTTACTTACTCAAATGGTACTGGTGTTAGATTTACGTACGGTGACGGAGGATTTACTGCTGCAGCAACTGTACGTTTATATTTGTTTCAAAATTTTTCATTAAATAGTTATTTAAGCTCGAAATTGGCCTGCATTAATAAATTATGGTATTTCTATAGTTGTTGTTTATTTAAAACCATGTACTTTGAATTTACCTCATATTCATCGACGTGCATCAACTATTTCTTATGTTGCTAAAAGAACTATTTGAACTGGTTCATGGAGTGAAAATACGGGTGAATTTCATGCTATTACATTGCACGCTTATCAAGGTACTACATTTCCACCAGCAGCATTACATTTTGAACAAAATATTGGTTGTGATGAGGCTATTGTCGTCTCTGCATTTAATTCTGAAGACCCTGGTACTGCTCAATTAACAGAAGGCATTAAAGCATTACCTTTAGATATATTAGCGGCAGCTTTTGGTGTTTCAACAGAAAATCAAGTTGATAACCTACGAAAAAACTTTCCAAACACACCAGCCAGAGGTATTTACTCATGTTACAAAGCATGTGGATTGAATAAAAATGGAAAATCAAAAATCAAAATAAAATCGACAAGTACAAGATTTTTCTATTTTTTTTCTGAGACTTTTGATAAACTTTGTTTTGTTTTCTACATATTTTTATTTATTTGTATTTTAATAGTGTCATATGTAACATCAGTAATCTAGCCACTATTGTACATCAATGAGCCTTCAAAATTTTTCCTTTCAAATAAAAATTACATTCATCAATTGTTTTATAAAAGAATATTTCACTCGCTTGCAACTGGATCAGAAATCTAAAAGTACAGATACATTTTTATATTATTTTTCATCAACAATCTTAATTATGTGTGCCATTAAGACACTAAAAAATTTAAATAAAATATGATCTTTTTGAGGTCGAATCATAACTATTGATCAAACACGAATATATTATGATTATAAGTTACAGTAAAACAACGGCTAGAATTTGGCATGTTCAGTTTCCATAGTAACTGTCATTTCTGTTCGGTAGAATAATATCGTTTCGATTGGTGAGATGTTATTTAGTCAATGGAATCGAGTAAATAAGAATGAGATACCATTGTGTGTCAACTATAAAATGCTCATCGAATCTTTGAAATGATTTATGAATGGTTTCTGTCTTGATATGCAAAAGACTAATAAGAAAAAATTGCTTTTACGTAATATCGCAGCTAAATAGATAAAAATCTTTTTAGTTGTGAAGAAAATTACTAGTGATGAGGCGAATCTTCTCCTAAATTGAACTTACGTCATCTACTTCTATTTCTTTTCTTTCTTTTCTATTTCTAACTCTTGTGTGTTCGTCGACTGTTTAATGGTGATTTGTAGCAGTACATAAACAACAATGTCTTGTTTTGTCGATCTAATTAGAATGCCTGTACCTTGTTATCTGATAGGTATGTGCATTCTACTAACATATCAGCAATTCCCCCATTATTGATTACACTATATTCAATTGTACAACAAAGATATTCATATTGATGTCGATAATGCAAAAAAAAGAATTCAATGATATTGAAATATAATCAATCGTTTTAAATAAAATCAAATGCTATAAAGAGAATCATGATATTGATGGTACATGAATGAGTGGTACACATTTATGATTTAATGCATGAATCATTTAAATATCAGTAATTAATTAAAAGGCACGGGCCTTTGAAGTATTGCAATTATATTCAACAAAAATGTTAGTGTCACATTTTCCATTCAGGATTCGACTCATAATAAAATAAAAGATAGATTAATTTTTTCTTTTTCTACAAAAGTATTGATTCATCTATTATGATGTTGTAAGACTATATCTTATTGATAGTACATTGGAAAGATATTCAAGATTATTCGTACAAGTTTACGTGGTTCTATTGTTTACACGAACTTGGTATAATTAACTTAATATTAGTCTTTAATTTACATGTATCTTCTATATTTTTTGTACCTCCTTCGTTAATTTATATTAACGTACGAATGAGGTAATATGTGTTATGTCCAAACATACTTGAAATCGTTATTAAATTTTAATTATAATAACAATTGAACAATTCTATCAATAAGAAATATATCTAAATGTTCAGTGTATTTTGTCAAATACTTCATTAAACAGATGAATTATTGCTGTTAATCAAGAACATGTATAAGGTTTAAACCATTATTGTGTACGAGTAACAAAACAAATGTTATATAATTTCATATTAAATACTATTGTTGATTCATTAAAATTTTTCTACACCTGAATGTAAATTGAGTTCATCAATTTTTGTGTCGATATCATTTGCTTGCAAATTAATATCTCTACTTTTGCTTTTGTTGTAGACCCCAGGGGTCTTAATGTTTACTTTTGTTGAAATATATGACTTTCTATGTAATGATATAAACTAACTTTGTTTTGTTCATGAAAATAATTAAGTTTCTTTTAACGAAGTTTACTTACTAGAAAAAGTGTGGGTGTGGGTGTGGGAGCGAGTCTTCTTTGAACTTGTATCAACACCCACACCCACACCCACATCCACACCTAATCCACACCCTTCAGCAACCTACGTTTCAATCGTAACTAGGCATGACTGTAGCACCCACTTTTACGCAGATTTGATCTCAAAAGAAGCAATATTAGAACAAAATTTACAATTCCTGACTTTTATAAAAAATTCCTGGTTTAAAAAAAAGTTTCCTTCCTGATTTCGGAACACAAGCTACTGCGACTCCTGTTTTATTCTATTTCTTTAATATCGATTAGAAAACTGTATGATTCGTCATAACCATATATTTATCATCTGTCACATGTCCAACTAATAATAGACATTAGTGAATATGATCATCGGAGTGTATTTGAGTAGAATATATATTATGTATCATAAAATGTCGTTGATGAATCCCGATTTACAGTAAAACTTCAAAAAGAAATCATGCTTGAGGGTGGGGTGTGAATGTGGGAGTGGGTATGACTGTGGCTGCGGGTGTAGGTGATGTGGGTGTCTGTTAGTAAAACGACAACACCCATACCCCATCAGGAAAACGCGAGCAATCAGGATACCGATCAGAAAGCGAGCCATATTTGATGGATTTATTTGCTTAGTACTGACAGAATTAAACGAAATCTCACCTTTATATGCACGACTATTTATATACAATTCGCTTCTTATTAAAAAAAGGAGTACGCAGTTTACTTGTTCTTTGCATGCATACTCATTTTGTCTTCAATCGAAGTAAATTGCGCAAAATAGAATAGGTTTCTTATTACAAGGGAGGCACCCAGTTTACTATTTCTTTTTAAACATACTCATTTTGCGTTCGATTGCAATGAAATGCGCAAAATATAGAGAAACGAATCAAGAAGACGTGACTGACTGCAGCCGGTGGTTAAAGGACATGTAAAAAAATATTTAATAAACTGTATAAGAGTAGGTATCTCAAGGGTGTGGATGTGAGTGTAGGTGTGGGGCGTGGGTTGTGTGCGAGTGTGGGTGGCGTGTGAGTGTGGTTGTGGGTGGATGCGTGCGGTATGGGAGTGGTTGTGGACGTGTGTATGAATAGAGATATACCTTAACACCCACACCCGTACTCATAAGTACACCCACACCTACACTCACATCCACACCCTTGAGATACCTACTCTTATACAGTTTATTAAATATTTTTTTACATGTCCTTTAACCACCGGGTGCAGCCAGTTACGTCTTCTTGATTCGTTTCTCTATGTTTTGCGCATTTCATTGCAATCGAACGCAAAATGAGTATGTTTAAAAAGAAATAGTAAACTGGGTGCCTCCCCTGTAATAAGAAACCTATTCTATTTTGCGCAATTTACTTCGATTGAAGACAAAATGAGTATGCATGCAAAGAACAAGTAAACTGCGTACTCCTTTTTTAATAAGAAGCGAATTGTATATAAATAGTCGTGCATATAAAGGTGAGATTTCGTTTAATTCTGTCAGTACTAAGCAAATAAATCCATCAAATATGGCTCGCTTTCTGATCGTTATCTTGATTGCTCTCGTTTTCCTGATGGCAATATTAGGTAACTCTAACACATAGAATATTCTAATCTAAATCTTTGTTATATTAGTCGTTCCTGTGTCAGCGAACTGTAACGACCCAGAAAATACTTGTGGTGGAGGGTTGTTTCCCAATAACCACGCCTGTGATTTACGGTGTCGTGCAGAATGTGGCAGTTCTGGGGGATCTTGTTTTTGGAATTGGATTAAATGGACATGTAGGTGCAATTAGTGAGAGAAGAGTTGACAGAAATGCTTCGAACAAAAAAATATCCCGATGATTATTATTTACTTCATTTATCTTATCAAATAAATCACTTATTGTAAAGATGTGCTTATGATTTTTGATGAACTCTTGTGCAGAGGAAAAGATGCGAACAAGGGTGTGGGTGTGGGTTGGTGTGGGTGTGGGTGTGTGGGTGTGGGTGTGTGGGTGTGGGTGTGGGTGTGGGGTGTGGGTTTTGTGAGGTTCTCGTTTCGGGAATGTAACTAATGGCTTCAACCTCCCTTGTTGACGTAGGCTGAAATATGAAATCTAGGATCTAAGCCTGTTTATCTTGAGAAAACTCACAATCAAATGCTTACCGTATATTGTTGTTCAGGTGATAGAATGTAAGTTGTAATAAATTCCGTTATGTAGGTGGTTTCAAATGTTTTATTAATAGATAATGATGATAGAAAATCACAGAAGACACGAACAGATGTATAACCACGACCAGAGGAAAACAAGACTGACCTGTAGTTATCACAATAACTACGATCAAGGCAAAAAAGAGAGAAAGAAGAAAATCAAAATAGAAAGAGATGGAAAAATCAAAGAATATAAAGAAATGAAAAAGAAAGAATGAAAAAGAGATGATCACCTTAAGAACATGATAATCAATAGCACGGTAGATATATATATGTGTATATTGCTGGAACGAAAAGAAACAAATACATATATATAAAGTTAGCGTCATGTCGTAACATCAATGGACGCTAACAGGTGTGGGTGTTGGTGTGGGTATGGGAGTCGATGAATAAGAAGAAGAACCTCCACATCCACACACCAACACCCACACCCATACACAGCAATACAGAAGTTTGGTTTTTCGGATTGGTGATCGAAATTTACGAGTCATCGATACACCAGGTGTTGATGATACGAGAAGTATTGAACAAGATACTAAAAATTTTCAAGAAATATAAACTTTTATTGCTTAATATGAACATTTGAATGGAATATTTATCTTACTCAAGCCAAATGAAGAACGCTTGAATATATTTTTTCCATTTTGTATCAATGAAATTCTTCGACATTTACATATCAGTACTAAGGACAACATTATTTTTGGTTTTTATGAGTGCACAATCAATTTTCTTCATGCCAGGTACTAACTTCTTCAAGGACTTTTAGATACACATTGAGCGGAACAGAATGTCGACGTTCCATTTTCAAGAAAAAATACATTTCTTTTTGATAATGAACCATTGCTTTACTTAGCATTACGTAAAAATGGTATACAATCAGATATCGAACAAACACTAAGTTACAGTAGAAGTTGGGATTATTCTATCAAAGAATATTCACGTTTAATGGTACATATTGTTACGTGTCCATTTTATGATGTAAGTAAAACACTCTCATTGAATGAAGCCAAACAACTCATTCGAAAATTTAGCCGACCAATTGCTGAAATCGAGTCATGCAGAAAGGTGATGAAACAAAAATGGAACATCTACAGAACTCACAAAAAGTTCCGCACCCAGATGAAAACTATCTAAATCTCAACCATTTGGGCTCATATTTTTACTGTAAATAGAACTCCATGAATGCTGATCATAAGAACCAACAAGAGCCGGTTTACTCAGAATACTAAGGACTTACAAGGCAAATACGTACTTCCCCTTAAAGTAAGGATATCTCAGCATGGAAAGCGAATCATCTAGTGCGCAACCCCCCATTAGAGAGGGCAACACTACCTCTCTCTCACATAAAAATTTCAGGCAAAACGACTTGTGTTTGCCTGAGTTATCAAGTATTCTTTGACAATCATTGACATATAGCTACAAGCCATCTACCAGAAATGTATTCAAAATTTGCCTTTTTCTCCAATCGTTCAGCTTGAAATTTACACTAGAGGATGCTTTTTAGTACAGTACTTGTTTCTGAAATTTTCAGAATTCCATCTAGTAGTAGACGAGAGTTTCGTCTTGAAATTGTTCTAGATGTTGTAGGACCTGGTGAATCTCAAATGAGCGACGTATTGAAATGATTTTTATTTGGTGAATACACATTCACAAGACCGTTATATAGATGACAAAATAACAGCAAAAAGAATTAGAATTCACACGGAACAACAAAAATATATCCTTATGTTGCTGAACAATGATAATCAGAAATGTAGGTGAATATTGTCTACTAACTTTTCTCATTATAAAATCTTCAATTAACCGAATTCTTTATGTACCTATTTATTTGTAATAAGGACTCGTACAACTTTAATCTAAGTTCTATTCGATATGCATTTGTAGAGGACAATGACCCAAAACACAAATCAAACATTAGTACTGCATGGAAACAAGATCATCATATTAAAACACTTCCGTGGCCATCTCTTAGCCCGGATGTCAATCCTATAGAAAATCTTTGGTCATTATTCAAAATTAAAGTTGCAAATCGAAAACCGAAAACAATCAAAGATTTAAAAAGAGCAATTTACAAGGAGTGGAATGATCTTCCGAAAGAATTAGCATCTAAACTTGTATGGAGTATGAAAAATCGTGTTGAAGAACTTATTCAATCTCGAGGCGAATACATACTCTATTAATTCATTTTTAAATTATATAAGAATAAACTTGATTCCAAACAATTTATAATTTGCTTCATTAAACAGAGACGGTCTTAGTTAAAATCAGTCCTAAAAGGATCATTACTTTTTGCATGCCCATAAATGCATCTACTNTTCTCAACCCTGTTTATCGTTTTTTTAAACTTTACAAAAGAATGGTTATTACTGTAGGAAATGTTTCTTGAATGAAAAATATCAAGTTCGAATTTTCTAGAAGCCGATCGCAGATTTAGATTTGTCGCCTTCGATTGTCTTCATTGAAATGTTAAGATTATACCAATACATGCAACTATGTGACTAGATAGTTGAATGGAAACATGAAAACATAGTCACAAACTCATACTATCTTATATGCCTCTCTGCAGTGAAGAGATTAAGTCATATAGGAACGCGTATAAAATGAGACTGAACAAGTTCTCAAGCAAAGATCTATTAGATCACGCAGATATTCTTTAATTAGAGTCTTTTGAAATCTTTAGAAATCTTTAGAAATCTTTAGAAATCTTTGGAAATCTTGAAATCTTGAAATCTGCTTTTTCCCCCTTGGCTTAGCAGCTAGCTATGGATAAATTTTTGTTGTAATATTCAATGATAAATGACAGATGTTACAATGAAGAGTTAAAATTTTTAATAGTTTCGGAAGCAACAATGACAAATAATAATATGATAAAAAAAAGAGCAGAGAGTTAAAATAAAAAGTAATCAAAATATTCTTTCAATTGTTCAGCAGCCATTGACTATTAATGAGGATTCAAATAGAATTTATTTTCAGGTATAAGATGGTGTTTCACCAATAATAAATAGCAGATCTTATGATGATGTCCAAGAGATCGAAGCACTCATTGCTTATATTGCATCAATAAACTTTTTTTTGCTATGCTGTTTATTTTTTTCCTTTCACTCACATATCTCTATTCATTAGTACTTATAATAATTGAAATTATATCGATTTTATGTCGACCAATATAAGATATTCTAATATCAATATTTCCTTTAATTTGTTTATTTTTATAGATGCTAGTGTATCATGAAAATAGTAAATATTGACTTAGAAGATGATAATAGAAGCAAAAACTGAAATTATAGCGAAGTACTAAGTACACTTGTACTCAGTACAGCTAATATAGTACATAGTACTTGAGTACATGTCCAAAGTAAATTAGTTGAGTACCAAATATTTGCACTTGTACTTGTAGTACTTGTACTTGTCCAATCACTGCTAGGAGTGGAATTAAAACTATCATCGGGTAACAAATTCTCCAATTTGAATGTCCATGTCCATTCACTTTGTAGTAAATGAAGTTTGATTGCTGAAACATCAATTACAATACCACGATCTCCACTTGTTACATGCCATGAAACTGAATCAGCACTTGAACCTAAAAGTGTCACAATTGTTCTTGAAGAACTCAACGGAGCACCGAGTATTATTTCAGTGCTATCTTTTGGCCATATGAGAAGAAAAGCATAAACAAATTTATTGTCTTTTGATGATGTATACCTAAAGCAAGAAAAATTTCCATAACTTCTCTATTTAATTAGACTTACCAAACATTTGAATTGATAGTATCATTTTGATACTTCCATGGTTTAGTAGCATAAATAGCTTCACCATTGACTTGTAACCATGAACCCATTTGTCGAAGACGTTCTTGAAATACGGGTGGAATCTTTCCATGCATATTGGGACCAACATTGATCAAGGCATTACCTCCAGTGCTAAACAAAAAGTAATAATAAAGATACTTTTTTTGAAAATTTTGAACAAAGAAATAGAAACAACCTGATTGTAATAACTACTTCTTTGAGCATTTCTTCAATCGTCATATAATCCTGAATATTAGCAGTAGGACGATAACCCCATGATATTTTGTCGATCTATTCAATTATAATAACTATTAAAATTCATTTGAACTTTTGATGATTTAACGTCATACCGTAAAAGCATTTTCCCATTTATGTTCAATTAAATATCCCGGATTGTAACGATCCGCACAAGTATAAAAATCGCCATGTTTACATGGAGTATCTCTACCCCATCGATCATTGACAACCTATACAAACTCATTAGATATGTTGATCGTTAACTATAGATTAACTCGTACGACAGTATCTTTCACAGGACTTTCATTGTAGAGCCAAGCTAAAAATTGAGAAGCCTTCCAATAGGTATCAGGTGCCTCTGAAATAGAATGTAAATGCATTCGAAGAATAGAGATTAATTAACAAACGCCATTCGCCATCAGACCAGACTATTTCAGGTTTGTATGTTTCTACGAGTTCTCTGAGTTCAGGCAATGCTTTCGTCTATAAAGATACATTCTTCATTTAACTCTATTTCATACATAGCGAATATTTACTTCTGGGAAGTATTGCGTGGTGAAATTATTAGATTTATCTTGTAGATAGATTGGATTGAACCATTCAAACAATGAATAATATAAACCAAAGACAAGTTTTGTTCGATTTCGAATAGCTGCAGCTAGATCTCCTGAAAAATTCACATTGAGGAAAAAAGGTAATAGAACATAGAAAATCATTCGAACCAAGTAAATTTCGTTTTGGACCAACATGCATTGAGTTCCAATTAAAATTAAATGTTGATGGCCACATAGCATAACCTTCATGATGCTATTTTCGAAAGATAAGAGAAACTATTTCGTTGATATTATAATATCAATGCATTTGAAACTAACCTTGCTAGTAAGAACAACGTACCTAAAGAGAGAATGTGAGATATTTCTATGAAAATCGAAAATTATCGACTTACTTTGCACCAGAAGCAGCAAATAGATCAGCCCATTCATTTGGATCTAAAATACAGAAAGATTGTCAATTTTTTTCTGAGAAATCTCTGATTGATATTTACCATAGAGATCCGCACGAAACTGTGGACCAAAATTTGCATAAGTCCAATCTGGTGGATAGTTTTTCTTCATATAAGCTACAATGTCCTCATGTGGATTAGTACCTTGCCAATACCACCACATCCTATTAACAATTCAAGCAAATAGTATTAGTTTTCTTCTGTATCTTTCGAACATAGAATAGGTGTGCGTTTCTAGTAACTCATAAAGTAAACCTACCATTCGGTAGAGATAGCTGGAACGCTGTATAAACCCCAGTGAATGAAAATACCTATTTTACTTTCGTCATACCATCTGGGTAATGGGCGTGCATCGAGTGATGTCCAATCAGGAGTATATTGTTGTTTACTCACTGATACAAATGAACAAAATAGAAGAGCAACGAATATCAGTTTCGCTATGCAATAACACATTATTGATCTAGAAAAGAAAAGTAATATGATTAACGAAGGCATCTATAGAAGAAATAGAAAAATGAAGAAAATTGAGAGCATCAACATGGATTGGAATTAGTTTCATATAAGTTACAATTAATGATAACTAATAGCTCAATTCCATTTTGACACGTTGGCTAGTCAGCATCCGTTCGGATATGAAAAATTTGAACTCGTTGCCGGTGATGTATTTTAGGAAATAAACGATTGATTAGTTGTATATCAAAATAACTGTAGCATATCATAATCTTTGTATTCTTGCTATATAGAGAGACTCAGAGTTGGAACCGGACAGCTTTTTTCTGTCCGGTCCGGTCCGGCCGGTTAAAGAATTCGTCCGGTCCGGTCTGGCCAGCAACCGGCCGGATGAATATTACAGCCAAACTGGCAAAAATCCGGCGAAAATAACCGACCATGAAAGTATCTGTTCGCAT